GATGTTTCCCTTACGCTACCATTTACTCTACAGCCTTGGAGGCAGGAAGGTGCTTATGTCCAGGCTATACAGAAACCGGAAAACAAAACCAACCAAAAAAACCCCACACTACTGGTAAGCTGCTTTTTAGTGCAATTCTACTTTAATGCGGGAGTAGAATGAAACTGATCATTATGACTCATAAAATCTAAGAAATGACCAATGAAAACCTATTTACCATATAAAAACTGGGAACAATTAATTTACTATTCAACGCTATTAAAATTATTCTTTTGAATAATGTGTTTCCTAAGTCATTAAGAAAAAGAGTTCAATTCACCTTTTAAAGGTCATGATTTGCAGTTTCTGCTACATTAAGATAATGTATTCTACATTGTGTACAGAGACAGGAATCCTTAGCAGCCAGCCAACTTTAATCCACACCTGCAATCAAGATCCTGGCAATCCTATTCCTTTGATACTTGTTTACTTGAAAGCAATTTTTATAATCCTATTTAAAATTTTCTAAACTGCCCCTGATCCTTAATAAAACAAAGTATTGTGGTAACACTACAGAAAAAAATATTAGATGTGTATGGAGCTTCAAATAATTCATGGGGAAAAATGGAACCAAAAGATAATAGAGTTCTTCCACAAACTTTTTAAGTTCCCCTTATATAGAGGTTTTTAACATGTACACAACCCAAATTATGCTATGCTCAATTCAATTCAAGGTCAATCACAGGCAAAAATAAATCACAAGACAAGCTTTCTATCTCAAGAGGCGAAATAAAATGATTTTAATCCAGCTGCTTCCTCAATAACCACACCAGTGACAAAAACAGAAAGTTTGAATGATGAAAACAATTTCTACTCTGTACTCTTAACATAACTTAAGAGGTATAATACATAATTCTCTCCTTCATTAAGTTAAAATCTCCCCAAGTTTCAAACCTACCGATCTAGAATGAACCCCTACTACACCACCTTGTACAGCCACCAATGGTTCACTGAACAAAAAACTGGCAAAGGTACATTCATTGTGCCATGGGACATAAAAGAGAAAATAGAGATCTTCAACATCAAGAAAGCCATTCTCCAGATGACTGGATGGTCAGATGTATAACATTAATTTTTTTTTTTTAGATTTTATTGGGGCTCTTAAAACTCTTAAAAGAATCCATATGTCAATTGTATCAAGCATTATTTTTTTGTACATGTTGCCATCATTATTTTCTAAGCACTTACATCTTACATTCTATTTGAGCCCTTGGTATCAGCTTCTCTTTTTTCCCTCCTTCCCACCCTCCTGACCCCTTGATAAATTGTAAATTATTATTGGTTTCATATCTCACACCAACCACTGGTTCCCTTCCCCCATGATTTC